GTGGTACACGCTTCCGAAATGTTGAAGAAGTGCGAGAATGGGTGGACGAATGGATTGCTTCGAAACAAACATCGTTTTATCGAGATGGTATCGCCCAGTTGCCAGAAAGATGGCAAAAAGTTGTAGAAAGTGATGGAAAATACTTTCATTGAAATAATTTAAATAAATTTTTTACAATAAATGCTTTTTCTCAGTATTTTTTGGGCGGAAACTAAGTTAAGGTCCTAATATATCAACGCATTTCACTTATAGTATATCTCTATAGCTGAATCAGCCGTCCCTTAAGAGTGCGCAATCTATTCTATGAGTCTATGGAAACTTCCTCCAGGAATTTCTCTATCCCTACATTATGTAAGAGAGAAAATATCTAAGAAATAAAAAATATTCATTCGGCAGATACTAATAACATAATTTACTTATACTAATATAAGAAAATATTTTTTAAATAAGAAAATTTCTTAAAATCTCTTAGCTCTTCACGAAAACAATTATTTATTAAGACGGGCATACATGGACAGCAGGTCTTAAAGGATAGCAACCTTTGACTTTGAGAGACTTTGACAGCTGTACCATTTGGTACAGTAACATTGTTTCTCTCTGTAGTCGCCGTGCGCTCGGGATCGCGCCAGAGATGTCGCTTCCGAACGGCATCTCTGAGTGTTATCTAGGAAGAGGAAAGTGTCGTGAGCGTGGAGGTAGCTCAGTGGTTAGAGCAGTCGTCCGGGAAGCGAAAGACCCGGGTTCGAGTCCCGGCCTAGCAAGGCCGCGCTCTCGATATTTTTCTCTTTCTGGAATGAAAAAGATACGCAGATCTCGAACGCGCGGCGTCCCGCCGCCACCTAGTATGCCCTCCTCCTTCTATGGTTATTATTTATGTATGCGCTTAAATAAAAGAATGTAGATTTAAATAAACTTATTGTTGCGCATAATTTGTTCAATGAACACAATATTTCTTTGAAGGCGGGTGACTGCCGATTTTGTCGATCCAACTGCTTGTTTTCCTCAGTGCATTTCCTCATTCTATGTGATAAGTACGAATGCCGTATGAATCACTCGCAAGGGGCAAGCAACTGCTGTAAATTGAGTAAACTAGAAAAGTTGCTATCAAATTTACGTACACCTGTCTATCTAGCCGGTAGCCAACGTGCTAATAAATTTGAACAACTTCCCACTCGCGAAGGGTCTTTGCCCGACACGAGGGAACGCCGAGGTGTCTGACTCGTTCAAACTAAGCCAACGGGTGGATACACTTTTTCGTTTTTATTTATTTTCTTTTTTTTAGCACGTCTTATAGATCATCATCTAGGACTCGGTACCGCTCCGTACCGGAATTGTCACGCCGCGCGTCCACACAGCTCGTTGCCCGGGATGGTACGAAATAAAGGTCGGTCGTTTCGTGTTCATAATTGCGCGGTTTATACGGTGCAAATACGGTGGCCGTAAAATTGTGACATGAAATGCGACCGTCAGATTTAAACTTTCGCCTAAGTATCGAAGATGATCCAGTTTTCGTGCCCGTAATATCCGCGACAGACACGATACCCGAACTGGGCTCGTCTCGGCCCCGCGTATTATCATCGCCTTCCGAGGGAATATTTCACCACGATCACTGTGACGGAAATAGTCCGTCTTCACCCGAGACGCCCCGAACGTGCTAATTTCATTTCGATCCTCCCCTCTTCCCCCTTATGCCCGCCCTTTCTCTTCACTTTTTCCCCAGCCGCTTCACACGAAAGCTCTAATTCAGTCTAATCCAGTCTAATTCAGTCTACATGGAATAAAAATCTCAGCCGATAAGGACCAGATGAAAATTCGGCGTCGAGAAATGACACCTCTGTTACTAAAAACAATTGTCTGAACACTCAGCTGTCAAAACTTGGTCGCAATAACTGAGAACAATTGACTGAATAGAAATCTTCATAGAGAATAGACTACACGTTGCTACAGGATGAATGAAGTCAGCATTAGTAAGAGAGGAAATTAAGAGTAAGATGCTTCCTAATACTAATTCTAGTTCTAGTTGGTGGGAGGAGGAGAAACGATCACATGATCAGTGTCCCTTCTCTTTCTTTCATTATATTTTTATTCTTTCTTGTCTTCTTTTAAAGTACTGTGTGATAGAGAAAGCATTTCACTTAATATAATATATCTCTATAGCTGAATCAGCCGTTCCTTAAGAGTGCGCAATTTATGAGTCTATGGAAACTTCCTACAGGAGTTTCTCTATCCCTACATTGTGTAAGAGAGAAAATATCTACGAAATAAAAAATATTCATTCGGCAGGTACTAATAACATAATTTACTTATACTAATATAAGAAAATATTTTTTAAATAAGAAAATTTCTTAAAATCTCTTAGCTTTCCACGAAAACAATTATTTATTGCGCTTGAAGAAAAGAACTTTAGATTTAAGTAAATATGTTACCAACACCCACCAAATAAATGTTTTACTTTTTAGATATTCTTTTTGTAGTACCCTGTACAAATTTTTTGTAGTAGACTGCACAAATGGGCTTTTCATCTACACCTATTCTTGCCACGCAAACTTTAATTGAAAATTTTCCGGAAATTTTTCTATTCCTACAGACTTCAATTACACTAATTGTTTCACTGTTTTTCTCGTAATTGGAATTGTTTTTCTTGTAATCGAGTCAAATCGACTTACTTGTGCTCGTGTTTCTGGTGCCGTCGGCACTTGCGGTCCTCTTCGTGGCCACCTGATGTGGTATCCGCCGGCGTTTCTGGGGTTTGCGCGCATGATACCTCCTCTTCCTTGATCTTCTCGAACTGTACTCGCGGGCTGCCGATTGACGGGCTATCGCTGAAACAAGAAGCCGCCCTTTCCGAGATAGGAGCCTCGCTCTCGCTGCTGATCACGTTTTCAGTTTCCTCCGCCGTTTCCTCATCCACTTCAGCATCGGCCTCGATTGTACCGGCCGGCTGCAACGCGTTGTTGATCCCATCGACTTCTTGCAGCTCGTTGCTCCTCGGCTGGACATTACTGTGGTCTTCCTCAGTGGATACTTCCGCCGCCGATCCTTCACTAGGTGACATCGTGAAGAGTAGTATTTGAGATATTTGTGATTTCCGAGTTCGTCGAGGATTCTCGAGGAAATTCCTTCGCTTATCTAATTAGAACTGGTTTCAAGATAGAGACTCACGGAACTCGGAATAACATTGTTCAGTTAGAACGAAAACTTTCCTTGCATCTTAGTAGTTTGCCTTTAGAAGTTGATTGCATAAGAAGTTTAAAAAATCGCCGGGAATATCGAATTAGCCACACGTGTGCTCGAGTAGTGATGAGAATTGATCGAATGCTCAACGCGATATAAACGCTTTCCCGAGGCACGCTACTGCTTCTATATTGAAAGACACTTTAATAGGTAACTAGGTTCAATTCCGATTCGATTTTTAAGAAGATCGATCTTTCTCTAACAGAAATCGGTGTTTTTAATCAATTCTTTTTTATTTTATATTTTATTATCTTATTTATTCAGTAATTGCAGGATTCGATTTTCCTAACAGAAAATCGATTTTTGATATGCCCATTTATTAATTTTGTCAGATTTAATATAGAGTTTACAGTGTAAATCCACTTGTCGGCTTAAATGAAGATCCAATTTATTATTGACTTAATTTTTATATTATGCTCCTTTATATAGTAGCAAAATAATGAGAAATCTTATTGAAAAATATTATAAAATTCAAAATTTGTCGTTTTAAAATTACGAGAAATAACGCAAAATAACGAGAATCTTATTGAAAAACATTATAAAAATCAAAATTTGTCGTTTAAAAATTTGCCGTTTTGAAAGATAGAGTTTATAATTAACATTAGATTTATTAGATATATTAGAACTTTGTGAATGAAAAAAACGGTGTTCAAAATCTCATTGTGCGAATTTTTTGTATCGATATTCAGGAAATTGACACTTTTAACCCAATTTATTTAGCAAATTTATTTTAATTATTCCGATTCAAGAATCGATTTTTATTAACGAATCATTCTTACACTTTTAATTAAATTCCTTTCTCTTATATCCATCTATATTTACAATACGAAGTACGTGCGATTCCTGAAATATCTTGTATAGCGGTGAAGATAACTTACGGTGAGAGGTGTCGTCGCATAGATCTGGAATGCAGGCTCTTCAGGGGCATGTGCGGGTGAGGGTAACTTCTTTTCCGGTGTTCTGAAAAGTATACACAAAAAATATTAAAAAAGAAAAAAAACAGATGGAATATTGAATATATAAAATATATACACAGTCTCTTGTATTCACAGATACAAAAAAGAAATCTCAGTTCGTGTGACTGAATAGAAATCCAACAAAAATTCGGAGATGAGGAACGCTATCTCTGTTACCACGACCAACAATATTCAACTAAGCATTCGGCTGCTTCAAAACTCGGCTGAGATAACTGGAAACTGGAACTGACAAAATAGAATAGAATTTTCTCCTACGGAGAAAATATTCAAGTGAGAATTACAGTAAGATCACATTTCATTTCACTTTACAACGTTCTTTGTTAAGCTGGATTATACATCGCAACATTAATTGCTATACACTGCGACAAAAAGTATCTAAGAAATAAAGATATTTTTCGCTGCCGCTCATCCTATGTGCATGTATATGTATTCTATATATGCAAGGCAGTAATAAAAGTAATGATTATATTCATTGCTACAGAATGTAATTGCGTTACTGAAAAAAATAACGTCATTACCAAATTACTAAAACAAGCAGCGTATAAACTTTTATCAAAAATTATTTTGTTACAGTTGTAACGATTGTAAACGAGTGAAGTGTTACTTTGTGGCCACAAAGTAACACTTCACTCGTTTACAATCGTTACAACTGTAACAAAATAATTTTTGATAAAAGTTTATACGCTGCTTGTTTTAGTAATTTGATAATGACGTTATTTTTTTCAGTAACGCAATTACATTCTGTAGCAATGAATATAATCATTACTTTTATGTTACAAGTAATGAAGGTTTTCTTGTTTTTATCAATCGTCGTGATTGATTTGTAGCAACCCCGAACAAATAACGTTCAGTAACACGACAGTTTCGACTCACGATTGAAGTCACGATCGCCATATCGCGACGGCGGCCCGCGATCTCGATCCGATCCAACGGACTCCGAGGGTGAGCCTAGCCGGGCTACGTCGAACTTCTCTCCAGCATCCATCGCGAAGACCTTCTCCATCTCCTCGTCGAGTTCTGGTCCCGTTTCCGCGCCATGCCCGTCGACCTGATATGTCAAAGAAAAGAGTGAATAAATTTCCTCCCAAAACTCATTTGGTTCATTCGTTGTCATGTTAATTCAACTTTCTCCTTCACATATTGCATATAAAAATGCGAGTCTACCACGAAAAATGCCGCGCGACATTTTCAATATCAATTCTCCGCGAGATAAGTCCCCGAGTTCGCCGAAAACATCGCTCGTTCATCATCGCTGGAGAATTCGCACCGAGTGGCACATTGCGGCGTCGCGAAGGGAGGCTCTGTTAATAATCCCACAGACCTCTATACAGGATGTTGAAAAACAATGGCATAAATTTATCTGCGTGTTCCTCAGACAATTCTAAGAACAAAAGTTCATATAAACATGTGTCCGAAACAGCTTAGTTTTTGAGATAGAAGGCTTTGAAAATTGCAATTTTTTTTGTAACGATAATAACTTGGAAACTAATGACAATAATTAAATGAAATTTATTATTAAACATTGAATTTTTTAAATCTGGTATTCAAACAGAATTTTTTTTCCTTTCACAAAGATAGGATTAAAACTACCCCACGTTTTTTTTGTTACCCTTATTTCTAGTTTTCATTCAAAAGCTTTTTTGGCATGTTCAGAAAGGGTTTACTTAAGCACAGACATGTGCCAAATTTCACTTAATTATTGTCGTTAGTTTCCAAGTTATTTTCGTTACAAAAAAAATTTTTCAAAGCCGTCTATCTAAAAAACTAAGCCGTTTCGGACACATGTTTATATGAACTTTTGTTCTTAGAATTGTCTGAAGAACACGTAGATAAATTTGTGCCATGTTGTTTTTCAACACCCTGTATACTACTGAACTGCTAACTCCCTAGCTTACATCTGAGGCAAAAAGTGACGGTCATTTTTGTTAGGGCATTCTATATATTCACATACTAATTTTGCCTTAACAAAGATGGCTGCCTCTATTCACACTACGTTAAAATTTTGCCTCACTTTTCTACAGGCCGACCATAGGAAGTTAGCAGTCTAATAGTATATAGAAGTCTGAATAATCCGCGTTACTTATTGCATAAAACGCGACAGCTCTTCAGAATTAATGATATATTGTAAGGGTTCCGTGTGAAGAGCTTTATATCCTGCGCCACGAGTAAGAGTCCGCCACGCATAAAGCCGCCATCATATATTACGTCAGACCTCACACATATGACGTCCTTACGCGGTTAATGAAAAATACCCGTCGCCGCGTCCGAGACACGGAATGTCGTTTATCGCGAGTGGCACGCCGCGCTCTCCCGCGAAAAACTTGCATCTATAAATAGAGGCTACTGTGCTCCAGTTTCCACCCCCTTCCCCCTCACCTCTTTCCCCTGTAAGACTCTCTCATTCCGAAAAGTTCCTCCGATGAGGAGAGCAGAGGCTCCACGATCGATCCTTTCGGCCGTATCCTGTATGCAAAAACTAGATAATCGCGCGTTAATTGCCCCAAGCTACTCCACCTATGCGATTCAGGCAGAATCGATACCGACATCGACTTCCGCGACGAGGAACGACCCACCCTCGCGAGCATCCGCGTCCGCGCCACGCGTCATTAGCTGTTATATTAACGTTCTCCTCTCTCCGAGGAGAACGTGCATATTGTCGATCTATTCCAGGGGGACTAATAGCTATATGAAACTGTGATAGCGTAATGTTTTAGATGTGTTCTATATGCGTCTTCCTAGGTCGTTAATAACGAGCATAAAAGATTGCGTAGGGATATTGACATCCTTTTCAGTTATCAACATTCTAGAAGAATCTGGTTTTTCTTGCGACCACGATATATCCGTTGTTTTACTTGTCAAGTTTTTTCGTGAAGTCATAGACAAGAAGTCTAGTTGCAGTGGTTAACATTTCACTGTGTTAGTTTAAGAGCAGGTTCCAGTTTAAATAGTAAAATAGGTGGTTTTGGTTTAGACATAGAAAATAGAAGGTATTTATGGATTTCTTTAAAAAAAAATTAATAAAGATATCAATATATGGTTTTGAGTACACTATTTATTATTGTTTTAAGTATAAGAAAATTATAAAAAAAATTATAAAAAAAACCTATTTAAAACAAATTGAGATTTCGTCGTTCAGTTTTTTTGTGCTAAGCGCGATGAAACCAGACTTTAAATGGCGGGCAATATTACAGAGAGAGAGAAGAGAGAGAGAGAGAAGAGAGAGAGAGAGAGAGAGAGAGAGAGAGAGAGAGAGAGTGTGTAATAATTTGAAATAAATAGAACCAGAAAATTTAAAAACTGCATTAAATTTGCTGGAGAATAAAGCTTTAATAAGCTTAAATAAACTTAAATAAACTTCACTATATGCAAAAAATCGAAATTTAATAAAGTAACAGTATTTCAAAGTTACAAGCCATTTTACTTCTCTTTTTTTTTTTTATTTAATATCCCGTGAAAAAATATTAATTCCGGGCATTTTTCAAAGGATTTAAATTTATCTTGCAGCAAATTTAATACGGTTGTTATGTTTTCTTGTCCCATTTGTTTCAGATTATCACACGAACTGTAATGTTGGCTACTAATAAAAGATAAGATTTCAACTTCTTTTTCAAATAAAAAATAATTTTTGTTTACTTAAAACAATGATAAATAGCAATAGTCGAAACTCTATACTGATATGTTTATTTATTTCTTCGAAAAAATTCGTAAAACTCTATTTTTTCAGCTATCTAAATCAGAAAACTTTCCTTAGAGTGGTTAAAGTTTAACTGATCGCAAGATTAGCCAGATTTTTCGCAGCATCAATGACTAAGAGACGTTAATTGAATACTTCATCCAACTTATGCTTCCAATAACGCCAATAACGGTGGGAGGCTATTATTTAAAATCGGATTATTTTATATTCGAGATCGTTTTAAATTCATTCACAGAGAAGACTCGTTTTCTTGACTACGAAGCATCTGAAGACAAACTTAAGACGATCTTAAATATAAGATCGTATTATAATTATCGATCCAAGATTCGGGAGCACCGCGGAGACTCTTTAAAATTACGCGCGGGCATAAGTCGACTTAAAATTGACCTCTCGGGCAACGTCGGATACGCCCGTCCATTGAACTGACTTTCCACCACTCGGGTCTTGTAACCGTAAAAAAATCGTCTACTCTCCCGCGGACAATCTGAAAATAGATTATCCGTTTCGTACCGGTGCAGTAAATCGCAGTGCGCCAGTAGCAGCATCAGCAGCAGCGCGCGCGTGATTTTATTATCAATCTCATTTCGTTTCAGAACGGAAATCCGCTTTGAAGTTCATGCTCGAGTCTCTCTCTCGCATACAAGCTTTAAAACACCCTGACGGCTTTCCCATCTGTCCGGGTCAGACGTATCACAACGTTCGTTCACAATGCTCAAAGAGCCATTGAAAATCGATCTCTCGCGTTTTGTTACACGTTGTCGAAATCCGACTCCGTGTTACGCCAAGCGACAAGAGATTCGCAATGCCGCGCGTCATTGTTCGCAAGTGTCATCGCGCTCTCGCCTGCCTAAGATAAAATTCCGCGTAATGATTTTGTGCCCTGCTTCTTTCCTCTCTCTTACGCTCGCGGGGATTGAGCCTGCGGTGTTTTCGCGCGAGCTTGAATTTGCGGGCAGCGCGAAAGACAAAAGAGGAAATACCACGAGAGATTGAGGCAAAAGAATAGATCCGCTGAGAGAACTTTCGTGTCACGCGCTACACCACCGCGACGAATCTCGGAGCAATATCGAACTAATCTCGCGCGTCACCTGGCACGACCATCAAGACGAATGCTGCTCCGGCCGAGTTCTCTCTTGCGAATTGTCGCCGTCCAAGAAACTGGAGAACTTGATGAAACCAAAGAAAAATAAACGCGTTTCGTCACGCGCTCATATCGCGCGGTGTATCAGTGTTCTGATCCAGCGACAAAAGTGCGAGTTGCAATTTTACGAGCGGACTTCTCCCTTCGACGCGCGTGCCGTTCGCATATCTCGACAACGGAGCAATGCAAACGCATTCCCACGTTTTCCCGCAAAAAAAAAAAAAAGAGTAAAAATCGATGCACGGAAACACGGAATGAGTGCTATTGTTTAAATAGCCACTTCGTTATTCTGAGACCTGCGTGCACGTAACACGGGCTCACGGTATAATTAACTTCGCAACGTAATTACCGTGAAACGGTGTGAAATGAGAAAAAATATCAGGAAACAACGTCGGGGTCTATTTCTTGCGTCCCGTTCATGGAAAAGTTACGAAGGCTCGTGGTACTTGCGGTCTTTTTTTCCTCTTAATGAAGTTGCCACTGAAAAAGTGACCGGTGTATCCTGAGATCTTTCCTGGAAATACGCATGCGGAAAAACCCTAATTCTAATTTCTAAGGTCCGTGGGCTCCGCGAGACTTAGATTCCACGGACACCAGACTCCACGAAATCTACAGTGCGGGCTACTGCCTTCGGCGACCTTTTCACGTCTCGCTCGATTACCCCGGCGCTCGATTATCACAGACTCTAAATTCCTCAAACTTCACTGACCAGCCCCGGGACGAATACCTCTCGAGGTCAGCTACGGCGGTAGCACGAAGATTCTCACTTCCTACCTCTCTCTATCTCTTATCTTTATCTTTAGGTAGACGGCCCCCGACGGCGGATCACGAGAGGATTCGCGAATGAGCGAGTCAGAGACGAAGGAAACGAGGCCAATTTCGGGCGGGACGTTCACCTGGTGCGTCGTCCGCAGGGAGCGGCGTAGCCAGCGGAGCACTTTGCCCCGCGCCCGCTGCAGGAACGACTTTCCGGAGGAACCGGCGGCGGCCTCAGGCATGGCATCCCGGGCTGAGTGACAACCCGGCCGGTCGGCGCTCAGAGCTGGAGGAACCCAAACTGAGGGCGGAGGGTGCCGCGGCCGGGAAGAGTGAAAGAGAGAGGGAGAGAGGGGGAACACTGGTGGGGATCCGAAGAAGGGATGGCGGATCGATATCAACCCCATACTCTCAATCGCGAGCAACCCCTTCGTTCCTTTTGCACTCCGCCCGCCCG